GGGGGGGGGCGGTTCAGGGGAACGTGCTCACAAGAGAAGAACCTGATAAGTTGTTTAATGACAAAATATATTTTGTTAGCAAAGAATAGAGTCATCCATCCATCCATTTTCTTCCACTTATCCGGGGTCGGGACGCGGGGGTAGCAGCTTAAGTAGGGAGGCCCAGACTTCCCTCTCCCCAGCCACTTGGTCCAGCTCCTCCGGGGGAATCCCGAGGCGTTCCCAGGCCAGCCAAGAAACATAGTCCCTCCAGCGTGTCCTGGGTCTTCCTCTGAGCCTCATCCCAGTGGGACATGTCCGGAACACCTCACCAGGGAGGCGTCCAGGAGGCATCCTAACCAGATGCCCGAGCCACCTCAACTGGCTCCTCTCGACGTGGAGAAGCAGCGACTCTACTCTGAGTCCCTCCCGGATGATCGAGCTTCTCACCCTATCTCTAAGGGAGAGCCCAGACACCCTGCGGAGAAAACTCATTTTGGCTGCTTGTATCCGAGATCTCGTTCTTTCGGTCACAACCCAAAGCTCGTGACCATAGACGAGGGTGGGAACGTAGATAGGCCGGTAAATTGAGAGCTTCGCCTTTTGCCTCAGCTCTCTCTTCATCACGACAGACCGGTACAGCGCCCGCTTCACTGCAGACGCTGCACCTATCCGCCTATCAATCTCATGCTCCATTTTTCCCTCATTTGTGAACAAGACAAGATACAACAAGATACAATACAAGATAAAACAAGATACTGGAGGAGTTCAAGAATAGAGTCCTAACATTTCTTAAACATCTGTTTGTATAACAACTTAAAAAAACATCAAACTTGTGCTTTGACAATCGATAAAACTAAAAAATGTTGTCAACATGAAAGAAGAAAGAGGGGTCAGGTGTCGCTCTTGCTTTGAGTTTATACTCTTTGTTGCTGCGTGCTGTGAGTGAAATGCGTCCAGAGTGGAGGACTTGTTAGCAAAGAATAGAGTCCTAACATTTATTAAACATTACTTCTGTATTTAAAAAAAGACAAAAATTGTGCTTTGACAAACTAAAAAAAAAATTGTTAACGTAAAAGAGGAAGAGGGGCAGGCAATGCTCTCGCTTTGACTTTATTCTCTGTCTCGTGCATGCTGTGGGTGACAAGCGTCCTGAGCGTCACCAGCTGAGGAGGTGTCACAGCGACACGGTTCAAGCATGGCTCCCCAAACGACAAGACAGACATATTTGTTCATAACTGTATTATTAGTCAGACTGAGAGTTGCCAGATTTTAGCAAACAGTTGCCGAACGCACCCTGACACAATGAGAATGGTGAAAAAAAAAAAAAAAAAAACCCTAATCCCTGCCGCAAAATGTTCCCCGGGGTCAGATGCGCCCCCCACCTGGCATTGCTCTGGACCCCCCCAGGGGGGCATGCCCCACTATTTGAGAAGGACTGAGTTACACCAACATGTCTTCGGTCACTGGACACACTATCATGTTGATTAGGTCACAAGGGTCAGATAGGGACCATTCAACGTAAAACTTTACACTTCCTGTTCTCAGTGGGAGTGGCTTAAGTGATGTCATGATTTGACCTTTCAGTCTTGCAGGGGCCCGGATATGGATCAATCACTGAAGGTTTGATGTCTCAAACAGTTTTCAGGGAAGAGCTATTAGCGTTTCGTTTTTCATGGCGAGATGTCAAACTTTGAGGTCTGGCCCCGCCCCTTCACATGATCGAAAATGCACCGTTTTGACAATTTTTCGTTCCCCATATCTTATGAACAAAATGGCCAAGTTTGAAACCGACTGAGTGAAATCCCTAGGAGGAGTTCATTCAAATGCGGAGGCTGTAAACCGCCAAAATGGTGTGAAATGTGGAAGCTCATTCCAAAATGGCCACTTGCCTGTTTATTGTGCAGCATTGGTGCCAGAGGGTTTTCTGTGCATCTTGCGGAGTTGGACAAGTGTACCAAATGTCATGCTTCTACGAGAACGTAAGGTTAAAGCGGAGGATATTTAGAAAATTTCCAGGCGGCGCTGTTGAGTCATTTCTGTTGCGATTTTTGCGACGCCCTTAAAATATGTAATTGTCACGCAGTCCTGATGCGTCCGCCAAACGGGGTGAGTTTCCAGATATGTTTAGGCCTCCTAAACGCCAACTCATCTGACGGACATATTGCTGCATGGGCCGATTGAACAGAGCGATTACAATAGGCCTTCACAGCGCTTCGCTGCTCGGGCTTAATTAGCAGCAAACTACAGTCCTTTTGCCCATGTCCAACGTTGCTGTGGGATTTAAATGGTGAATGTTGGTGGTTTTTCAAGATAAGTGTTTTTCTGGAATGGAATTTTGAATGAGTTAATGGTTTATTTGGTCATATCAAAAAGAACATCCAACAATTTTCAGTCAGATCATCTGGACAGTTATGTTGGACAAACCAGTTATGTTGGTGCTAAGACACCATCTTAGCACCAACATAACTGGTTTGTTCTACTTTGGAGTAAGCTGTTTGGGGGAAGAATCAGTTTTGTGTTGTGTGTTTCCTTGACTGATGAAGCCTTCTGGATAGAAGGTGAAATGTTTCAGAAAAAAAAAAGAAACTGTCCAGATGATCTGACTGAAAATTGTTGGATTGTGTACCTGGATTATTGAGCATGGACCTTTTTTTTTTATCCAAAAGAACAGTTTCAAACAAACTGAACTGAACAGAGAAAGCAAGTAATCCTTTATGTTTTTGGTGCAAGATATTCAAGTAGGTAGGAGTTACCAGTACACTTAAGTACAGAAGTAGTATTTATTTTTATTTTTTTTTGCGTGTCCAAAGCAGCACAGAGTGATGAATCCTGGCAAGTGGAGGGAGCAGTTTTATCCACCACCGGGCACAGTGGCTGAGCTGGGGTGTGGCCAGTGGTGGCCTTGACCACTATAGATTAAATTTTAGTCACCCCATCCGCCATCCCAATCATCTGAGGAATTTTATGCTTTTAAGCAATATAAAAACTAGAAACAATAGGCGGACTGGTTTACCTATATATATGGTGGTGTATGGCCATCTTAGATTTTGATGTGTCAAACCAATTTTCAAAGTGAACCTTTCTTATGCCTGAATGCAGCCACACACTAAAATGGAAGCCAGTACCTCACTTATTTTTCAAATTATCATGCTCACAAGGACAGATCATATGTCCCCCTCTTCACGGTGTAACAGTGGACAACATAATACCAGGAAGGCACAAGGAGTTTACACTCAGGAGCAACACATGGAAACCAGACCGTGGCATAACAACAACCTGATGCCTGGGAGAACAGACTGAATATATGAAACAAGGTTGGTGAGTGAGTGGAAACACCCGAGCTGAAAACAAGAGTAGAAATGTGAGAGTGGGCGTGTCAAGCTGACTGGAAACATGAAACGTGACTGGCGGAAACTGGACGGCATCACAGAGGAACACAGGATAATTAAAAAACTAAAACAGAAGTGAACAAACTAAATACATGAATCACAAAACATAAATAAAAACTAACAATAGCATAAAAAATATTATTAACAAAATAATAATAACATTTTATTTATATCACCCTGTAAAACAACCACAGCTGCAACAAAGTGCTGTAAACATAAAATCAAGCAAATTTAAACACATTAAAAAAATAAAACTGTTGTTAAAAGATCAATAAAAACAATATAAACAGTGCAGAGCAAATTCAGTCTGTGCTAACAGCCAGGGAGTAACAATGTGTTTTAAAAAAAATGAGTTTTAAAAACACATTTTCAAAACTAAAACTAAGAAAAACACAGATCCTGACAATCCTTCTTGCTATAAATGAGATAAAACTCTGAGATTCTCATGCCTTTCCAGTTCCACTCAACCATCTGCAGAACCTCCTGAGCCAAACTGAGTTGAGCGGATCGTCCCCAGCTGCTAATAAGAAAGTTACAGATCAAGAGTAAACATCTCCTACAAACGCTTCATGTTTCTCAGGACCACTGGTCTTCTGAAACTAGTCTGCTCTTGTGCTCTCATGGCAGAGTGCACTCTGCATTTGATGACAGAGCTTTTATTGTTGTAGCCCCAACCTTCCAAACCCATGAAAAAATGTCTTGGGGGATGGACTTATAGTCCCACTCTTGATTTATCCAGCTGTTAGCCCATTACACACCAGTTTCTTGTGTTTGCACCTGCAGATGGGTGAGACTGTGGGCATCTCAGAGGAAATTATGGGCCTGACCATCCTGGCGGCGGGGACGTCTATCCCCGACCTGATCACCAGTGTGATCGTGGCCCGGAAAGGTTTGGGAGACATGGCCGTGTCCAGCTCAGTGGGCAGTAACATCTTCGACATCACTGTTGGGTGAGTAATAAAGTTGGTTGAACATCTTGGTGTACTTCATGAGTCTACCTTGAAACTGGAAACAAATCTGCCTTGTCTGTTGCAGTCTTCCCATCCCGTGGCTGATCTACACCCTCCTTCATGATGGCAAACCAGTGACTGTCAGCTCCAACGGCCTTTTCTGTGCCATTGTGCTGCTCTTCCTGATGCTCCTCTTCGTCATCATTTCCATCGCTGCGTGTCGCTGGAGGATGAGCAAAGTGCTGGGTGTCACCATGTTCGTTCTGTACTTTGTGTTTCTCATCCTCAGCGTCCTACTGGAAAAACGCATCCTTGTCTGTCCTGTCTCCATCTGAACTGATGAGCTCAACATCACCACTGCACAAAACCCTGCTCCTACTGGAAGTAGGGTGTTTAATGTCTGTCCCCGAACTTTTTACACCATGACCCCCCATTATGACTGACGTAATACATTTTTTCATATCAAAGTCCATATAAAGCCCCACACAAAGACATCTACTTTCTACCAACACCACATTTGAAAAGTTTTAAGCAAATTGCATTAGTTACACTGGTCCTGAAACAGTAAACTGTTAGACTTTAACGTTCTGGTGTGCAGCACTACAGAAAAGGTTGAACACACATTGTGGGTTCAATATATTGTTAAGTTTATTGTGTCCACTCCACAAAAAACTTCATTATGATTCAGTCAGACTGGGTTTGTTGCTTGTCAAACACTTGTAGTGTTAAAAACAGTTTGTTTTGTGTCGGACTCATGTGTCGAGGTAACTAAATGTGCACTCTATGCAGAGCGTCTGTTTCAGTAATGTAGCATCAACATTGGATTTCACAACTCAGAATAATTACATGCTCCTTACATATTGTTCAAGAAACAACAAATTGTACAAGAAAATAAAAGACAGACTTAGTATCTTTGTGGACCTTTAGCATTTAGCAAATGCAATCAATGTTTTGAGACCGGAAGAGTTGTGGAGAGAGTGCATTTGAAGGTGAACTCCAGGTCATTATGGATTAATTATTTTCCACTAACCCTGGATTTGAAGTATCTGCTTGACCCTTTATTCAAAGTCACAAGAGGGTGGTCACACCTTCAAGAAATCAGTACTGTGTTTATGACAGAATTCCAAAATTATGTTAAATTTTATCTAACGCGCCACAGTTGTTGTAAAGACCTGGATTTATCATGAGATCGTGAGGTTTTAGTTGGTGCTACTTAAGATTTTGCACATACTGTATATTTAATACTCAAATATCTTGGAAAGAGAACTATGTGCCTCTAACTGTGCTGCCAACATTTACCCCAAATTAAATCAAGTTAATCACGCATTTATAGCAAAAACCTCCCACTTTTATGTAAGTTACTGTCACGATCCTCGAGGTTGGAACCCAATTGCAGAGAGATGAGTGAGGCAGGAGTTCAAAAACCAAAACAATTTATTTTTTTTAACAACAAAACAAAAGGCTGTCGGTGCAGCAAAACTTACTTTTGGCAGATTGGATCAGAAATAATGCAGAGCAGATCATCAGGGGGGCAGAAACCAGACAAGGCAGAAGAGGATTGTGATGTCTGTGAACATAGAACAATCACCGGACAAGGAGTGAAGGAAAGAAAGGCTTTTTATGTGACAGAGGGAGAGTTAGTAATGAGAGCACCTGGGCAAGTGGCTGATGAGGGACAGGTGTGAATGATAAAGACTGAGTGGAGAAGCAGACTGAGGAATGAGAGGAACATAACAGAAACAGATAAACAGAAAATCACACACAAAGCAGAACAATAAAAAATATAAAAAGCAGACAGAGACAGAAACTTGAAATAGAAGGAAATGATTAAGACTGTGGGATGATAGTTTGAAGATATAAATGTTGGTTTCTGGTTGCAGCTTGAAGGAGGTGGCAGAGGCTTGGCAGATGGGGGGGCAGCGGGGGCCGCTGACCGTGACAAGTTACTGCCAGGGCCAACAGCACTCGATTCTCAAAGATGAGCATTGTTTTTAATGCACAGTTAGCATCTGATATGTAATACCTCCTGATGGATTGTGGTAGCTGCGCTATTGCCTTCGCCAGAAAAGGACGGGCATGTCAAAAAAGGTATAATTCTTCCTCTCATCTAATGATCAATGTTAGACATTGTGGTATCTACTATAAAAATGAAATGGTCACAAAAGTGTGTAAAATCGTGTTCAAGTTTCAAGTTCATCGTCATGTGCACCTGAGACAATGTTACACTGTACAACAAGATTCTTGTGCTATGCATTTTCCTGTAACTTGTAGTATGAAATACAAGAAGCTAAATTTAAAAAAATAATAAAGTTAACAAACTCAACATCAAACGGGACAGAACAGTGATTTGTAAACTTTCCAGTACTTGACCCACAAAAGGGTGAGTCTAATGATGATGTGTTAAATTGATGTCCAACGTCACCTAAAAATATGCTTTAACAATAACTTTAAGTTGTATATGATTTCTGGAAGTGATGCTAATTGTGATTTATCTGATGCAGATGCTTTTTGATAGGACAATAATCCTTTTATTTGGTTCTACAGCTGCAGGATTTAAAGTGAATAGTTTCTGCAACACCCAGTGTTAGCCATATTCCTGGCCCTTGCCTTTGTGTTCTGGGCTTCAGTGTTTGCACAGAATTAGTTGAAGTCATTGGTTATGAAGGGCTGTCAGGTCTATATCTGTCTTTGTTGTCTGTGATGTTTTATAGTCCTCACCAAAATCATTGGGTGGTATACGTATGTGATATAGTGGCCATTCAGTTTGAGTTTGTACAAACCGGATTCCAAAAAAGTTGGGACACTAAACAAATTGTGAATAAAAACTGAATGCAATGATGTGGAGGTGCCAACATCTAATATTTTATTCAGAATAGAACACAAATCACAGATCAAAAGTTTAAACTGAGAGAATGTATCATTTTAAGGGAAAAATCTGTTGTTTCCAAATTTCATGGCGTCAACAAATCTCAAAAAAGTTGGGACAAGTCCATTTTTACCACTGTGTGGCATCCCCCCTTCTTCTTACAACACTCAACAGACGTCTGGGGCAGAGGAGACCAGTTTCTCAAGTTTAGAAATAGGAATGCTCTCCCAT